AATCCACTGTGGGCCAGAATTTTTTTTCCGTGGCCAAAAGTCCCAAAAAAATCAAATCTTCTAAACTTTTTTTTTATTTCATTTTTGAAACAAACGTGCTTTACTCCACTCAAAAATGTATCCGTTTAATTACAAGAGATGAAGGCAAGCTTGCTATAACCATTCATAATGGCTTTAAAATTGTCAAATTTTCGCAACTTTTTTTTTTTCAAAAATACTTATCCTCAAAATTTGCATAATTTTTTCAATTAAAAAAGCTTTGGACTATTTTTATTTTAAATAAACATATTAACTTAGTGCTTATAAAAAGTATATGTTGTAGTTATATATTTGTATTTAATTTATTCAATTAGAATTCTTAGAATATATAATATAATAGTCTTAGAATTGTTGGTATTTTAAAGGTGTTTTTCTAAATTTCCTCATCTTCCTTTTTCTAAATGCCACTCGAAAATCGTTTGATTTTCTGATTTTTGAATTTACTAAACGGCAGTTATTGTTCAAAAAAACACCCAGCTGCGACCATGTATTCTAAATGATATATTTTTCAGTTCAAAATCGACGACTTTTTTTGCTTTTCTAAAAAGACCGATTTAAAGTTAAGATATTTGTTTAAGGAATATATATTTTTTTATTTTCTATTTTATTAAACACATCGAACCGTTATTATTTAAAATAAACTTTATTTTATTATTTTAATGTTTTCAAAAAAGGAAAAAAAAAGGAAATCATTTCACTATAAATGCGTAAAAATCGAATATTTAAGTATTCGATTCCAACCATATGCCGCTCTCTTGAAATTGGACATAATGATATTTAGAAAGTATAACGGTTGTTTAATACTATTAAATAAAATCAGCTGCCACTAGCTATAACTTAGACTTAAAATCGATTTTGGAATTTCAAGGTTTTAGACTAATTTAGTTCTTACTTTACAAAGCATTGTGACGTGAAAAAATTTATTTGTCTGGAAATTTGAAGTTTTTATGATATTAAAGACTAATTAGTTAATAGGCCGGGTGAATAAAAATGAGCAATTGCTTTTACTCAGTAATTGGTCAGCTTTACGTGAATAAAAGCATTAGCAGTTTTGCTCAAATTTTTATTCACGTAACAATAAGCAGTTTACTTAGCAATTGTTCGGCTTTACGTAAATAAAAACTTAGGAAAAATTCCTTTAGCTTTTATTCACGTAAAGCTGACCAATTACTGAGTAAAAGCAATTGCTCGTTTTTATTCACCCGGCCTAATAACTACAGCAATTTGATTAAAAAATTGTAACTTTAAAAACTTTAAAAAGCACAAAAAATTAACGTAGACACTATAAGAAAAGTGATACTCGCATATACTGTAAGGGTTAAAAAATATTTAAACTATTAGTCATTAACATCCGACATATAGACTTTTAGTGAACTATTTTAACTATATTTTATATTGGTTATATTAAATAATCATTTAAAACTTAGAATTTTTTTTTTATTGCCCAAGGTTATAACTTTATTTCTATTTTACAAATTAGTGCGCATAATAATTTCGCATAAATCAAGTGGTAAAAATAATATAAATAAAATCTTAGTCAGTGTATTCAATGTCAGCATAGTAATAAAATGGCAAAGCAGAGTTTTCATTTTCAGATGATTCGATAATGTCATTGTGCTCATTTAAATTCCTTATTTTATTTATGTTTATTGGCTTCAGTACCTCATTTCTATCATCAAAATCATCATCCTAATCCAATTCGTTATATTATTCATCCGCATAATTATTGTCATTAGCGTCATTTGTATTTTTCTTTTCAGTTTCTTGAAAAAGAAGATCAACTGCGTCTCTATCCAGATTCATTTTTTTATGTTTACATTTTGATCTTGCATAGTTTAGAGATGAAAGAATTGGGTCACTCGAAAGCATTAAATAGTTGAATTGGTCCGTCATTCTAGCTTTTTGATCAAATTTACGAGTGTGTTGTAAACAAATATTTTTATTATCTTTATTCCGAGCTTCAATTGCTTCTTCAGAGTACATTCCAATTGGTAGCATAAATCTAGATATTGTCAGACTACTAAGAATGAGTAGTAGAAAATTGTGTACTGAAGCTGGCATGTAAAACCATGAGTACTCTCGAACAAAAATATTTGCTGTTTCCAAACATGTATTCAAATTAATGACAGATAGAATAATGTATAACCAGTATACTAAATCATTCTTGACTCCTGTTATTCGCGAAAACTCTGCTTGCTGACGAAAGACACGACGAGCAGTATTGCCATCATTTGATGTCGCAGATCCGCCTTAAAGAGTCATGTCAACAATAAGGCCAATTTTTGCAAACTCACGCTGAACAAACATTTTTTTTACAGCTGCTAATTTTATATTTTCAGGTCCACGTATTTGCCATTCTTTAATATCAACTCATTTGCCACGTATTTGCCATTCTTTAATATTAACTTATATGTAGAGTACATTCGAAACATCGAATCCATGTATGTAATGACAATAACCCAAACTCTAAGCTTTGCGAATCTATTAAACGGATTAGAGCTTTATCTAAGTTGTTTATTGATCTAGGAGCACATTTGCAAAAATTACAAATTTGAGCCGATTTATTGTCACAAATTGCATTAACTGTTTTCCATCAATTATTGTAAGTTTAAGGTTGAATCTTACTTCAATTACGAGCTCCTTTTCAGCTTCTGGTTCCATTATTTCTACATTAATAATCATTCAGACATTAAAGACTTGATCAAACATCATTGTTGTTTATTTGGACGGAAAATCTTTGTTTATACTATTTTTGGCTACTTGTACCTTTGTGATGATTGTTCGCTAGGTTGCTGATTAATTAAAGACAAAATTTTATTATTTAGCTAAAATGATTCGCCACTTGAAAAATTGCTTTTATTTTGAAAACATTTTTTTGCTAAATGCTATTAAACATTTTTAAAAGATAACTTGATTATTTATAAGATAAGAGTTTTAATAAAGCTACTTCAAGTGAAAATTTAAATATCTATAATTTGGTGTAAATTTATTCAAATAATTTTATTACTTTCAAAACTTGCAAAAATTGCAATTAAATTGCTGCAATTATCAACTAACTAGTCTTCATATAAACATATATATCATATAAACTTTAAATTTCCAGACAAATAAATTTTTTCACGTCACAATGCTTTGTAAAGTAAGAATTAAATTAGTTGAAATTTCAAAATCGATTTTAAGTCTAAGGTATAGCTAGTGGCAGCTGATTTTATTTAATAGTATTAAACAACCGTTATACTTTCTAAATATCATTATGTCCAATTTCAAGAGAGCGGCATATGGTTGGAATCGAATACTTAAATATTCGATTTTTACGCATTTATAGTGAAATGATTTCCTTTTTTTTTCCTTTTTTGAAAACATTAAAATAATAAAATAAAGTTTATTTTAAATAATAACGGTTCGATGTGTTTAATAAAATAGAAAATAAAAAAATATATATTCCTTAAACAAATATCTTAACTTTAAATCGGTCTTTTTAGAAAAGCAAAAAAAGTCGTCGATTTTGAACTGAAAAATATATCATTTAGAATACATGGTCGCAGCTGGGTGTTTTTTTGAACAATAACTGCCGTTTAGTAAATTCAAAAATCAGAAAATCAAACGATTTTCGAGTGGCATTTAGAAAAAGGAAGATGAGGAAATTTAGAAAAACACCTTTAAAATACCAACAATTCTAAGACTATTATATTATATATTCTAAGAATTCTAATTGAATAAATTAAATACAAATATATAACTACAACATATACTTTTTATAAGCACTAAGTTAATATGTTTATTTAAAATAAAAATAGTCCAAAGCTTTTTTAATTGAAAAAATTATGCAAATTTTGAGGATAAGTATTTTTGAAAAAAAAAAAGTTGCGAAAATTTGACAATTTTAAAGCCATTATGAATGGTTATAGCAAGCTTGCCTTCATCTCTTGTAATTAAACGGATACATTTTTGAGTGGAGTAAAGCACGTTTGTTTCAAAAATGAAATAAAAAAAAAGTTTAGAAGATTTGATTTTTTTGGGACTTTTGGCCACGGAAAAAAAATTCTGGCCCACTGTGCAAATTTATAAAAATTGTTAACCAGTTTTCTAACTAGTTGATTATCTTTAAAATCCTTCTTTTTTCCTCCACCAGATTTACGTTTGATAGATTTTGTTTGAGAAAAACGTTGGATTAAACGACTAACGGCGTATGGATCGCTTTTGCTATCGAATTGTAGCTACTATTGGGTTTTTCCAAATATTTGTGCATAATTTTTTTTCTTATGTCTTCTTCTTTTGTCATTTTTAAAACTCATTTTAAGTTAAATCAAAAAACTAATACATATTTTTGAAACCACAACACGTTGTAAACAAAATACAACACGTTGTAAACAAAATACAACACGTTGTAAACAAAATACAACACGTTGTTAACAAAATACAACACGTTGTAAACAAAATACAACACGTTGTAAACAAAATACAAAACAGTTGAAAAAATTTTAATATAACCACTGAAAAAATATCTCGTACTTATTCTTTCACATTTATTTCGTGTACACGCTTTACATTTCTGAGGTTTTCACAGTGCCGTAGTTAGTGGGACCCTAAAAAAAAAAAAAAAAAACAACAACCTATCATTAGGACTACTCCCCTAACTGCCTTCCCCCACCCTTATTGGAGGCGATGGTTAGTCTGGTCACGGCTCTGGGTATATAAATACTAATTTTAGTTGGACTATAAATATCAAGCTAACTATTTAATTAAAAAATAAAAACTTTTTGTTGACGGCTATGGTAAAAGCTAATGTTAGTTTTATAGTGCATTGAATTGAGCCGTGTTTCTAAATCATGGTTGACACTAAAATATTTCTTAAATAAATTTATAATATTTTCTAAATATTTTGTTTTGGATTTTAACTCTCATTGAAGTTGGTTATTTTTAATTATTGTATTTAAAAAGATAGTAAACTTTTTTAAAAGGAGAAATGCAGATGGATTCTAATGGAAAGTTAACAATAAAAAGTATTAACGTTGAAGAAGATACTTACTTTGAATTAAATTGCAATCTTCATGCTGAAAAAAATATTTCACTAATTTGGAAAAAAGATGGCATACCTATTCAAGGTATTCGCTTCTAAATAGTTTATTGTATTATTGTATAATTGTTTTTATTCAACTATTTTATTTATAACTGTTCTTATACTTGTTTGCGTGTTATTTTATTTATATTTTTTGTGAGTTTTAAGTTTTTTGTGGTTTCAAGATTATCAGACAATAAAATTGTTTTTTACATTGGAAAAATTCAAATAATTATTTAATTTAATTATACTTAATTTAAAGAATTTGATTTTAAATATTCAAAGCTAATTTTATTAAATAAGTATCAACGGAGTATAAACACTCTAAAATTGGCTTAAAAAATTTTGACAGTTATAAATTTATTTAGCACATTTTAAATTGCTGATTAATAATAAAGTTGATATTTCCGTGCAATTGAAACTTTAAAACACCACATATTCGGACAAAATTGGATAAAACTAGAACATAATTTTAGTCCGACTAAATTATAATTTAGATATATTTTCTATTTATTTGTTTTAAAAATCTGTTGTAGTTATATTTATAAAAAAAAAATTAAATTGTTTTTACAAGATTAAGACAAGAATTTTAATTGAATATGTAATTGAATTGTATTTTTGACCGACTTTCATTTCGCTCATTAGGGTCTACATTATGTAGTCTCTCCATTTACGGGGGTCTTGTATTTTAATATTTAGAGATTAAATATTAAAATGTAAGACCTTTCTTGTATGTTAATATCTAATTTCTTGAAGAGATCAAATATTAAAATACAAGACTAGAAAAAAAAATTCTAGCTTTTTTTTATTATTTTATTTTACGATAAATAGTACAGTCTTAAAAAAAAGTTCAAGACCACCAGGTATAATTAAATAATCAAAAAATAATTTCCCAATTATTTTTTGTACTGTAAAAATTTTTTTTATTAAATTTTCAGTTTTTCACAAGAGGTTTTAAACTTTTTTCTAAGACTGTATAATTTTTTGCGTCAGTTCAGTTTATAAAGTATTGCAAGGTTTCATAAAAAGATCAGATTTTTTTATGATCGGTATACCAGAGTTGTTTCATAAAAAGACTGCTGTAAAAACTGTAGTAACATTTTTAATCTATATTTTCTTAGTGTAATGCAAAATTCGAAAATTTAATTATTTGAGAACCATTTTCTGAAAAAACCAGGCAATGTTCAAAAGTGATATCCTTTAATCATATCTCAATTTTTTAAATGTTAATACTGATAGAGTAAGAAGCCTGTTATTTTTTTCTAAATATTTGTAGTTAATGTCAGTCAAACTTTCGGCCTTTTCACACTTGGAAAGTCATTATTGGGGTTTTATGGTTTATAAACTAAATTTAAAGACTATGAGGCAATTTTTATTGTACTTTATTTCTCTTTATATTGTGAAGGTAAAGGTAAAACTTTGAAAGTTTTTGGAAAGAGTATTCCATTGTAATTTTAATCAATAAACTGTCAAAAAATGTTTTAACTAGCAATCAAAAATCAGCCATAATGGGAAAAAATGAGAAAAACGTCTTAAAATTGAATGTAAAGGTTTTTATTACTCTATATTACCATTCTTTAAATGCAAAAAAAAAAAAAAAAAAAAAAAACGTTGAGGGTATTAACGAACTATTGAAATGACGTTAGGATAAGGTTGGGGATATTGTACCCTATAAGAATAAAGTCAAAAATAGAGAAAAAATACAAAGTAGAAACAATGAGACTATATTGTATTTTATGATTTGGGCATAAACTAAAAAAGATGAAATATTCCAAAATTTAAACGTTGCTATTTGATAAGGAATTAAGTTTTACGAAATATGCTATCGGTACAATCAGGGTCAAACTGGCTTGAAAAAATGGCCCTGGAAAGTTTTTGTCATGGCGGCCCACTTCATTGTATGTTGCATATATTGAATATACAGCATGATGACATCATACTGAAATAGCCTGCTGCGGGGGCTTCAGTACATACATCGACTGACAAATAGCCTGACTCGCAGTGGAGTGCTGCTACATCGACTGAGGGTTAGGTATAAGTCAGCAACCTTTTCATTCATTATTCTTCGTTTTCCCTCATCGTTTTCTCAAAACGCTCACTTAATTTAGGCTAGCAAAAAAAGTGAGCAATTGCGCATCTAAATATGCTGTAGTATATATATATATATATATATATATATATATATATATATATATATATATATATATATATATATATATATATATATATATATATATATATATATATATATATATATATATATATATATATATATATATATATATATATATATATATATATATATATATATATATATATAGGGGAAAGCGGAGCAACACGGCGAACGTTTTGAAAGTCCTGAGTTATTTCAAAACAATCAGTCGTAAAGCAATAATACTTTCTCAGTATATTTATGCTATTAAAATGATTCATTTCCTGCATGAATTTACAGTTAGCAAATATTACAATTTGAAATAAATTTTAAAATGAAAAGTTGATAAATTTGTCATCTTTTCACATGACCGGGGTAAGATGACTTATTATGCAATTTTTGCCTCCAATTTTATAAAACTTAGTATATCTATTTATACAACGCCATATTTAGACCATGGTGTTGTGTGCTCAAGTACTTTTAAAAATAATTGCGCCATCAAAATAAATTCAAAACTTGTCAATGAATCAAAGAGCTTTCGTTTTTTAACGGACATCATTATTGAATTTGATTGATGTAGAAATATCATGAAATATTTGTAACATGCCAATGTACAAAAAATCAATAACTTTTGGTTTTGATGATGAATTTCCGAATATCTTGTAAGAGCTTTGTCTTTTACCCACAAACGGGTTTCACCGATTACAGATATATATTTCAATTTGCTAAACTCAAGCCAAACATTGAAGCGTAAATATGATTCCCGTAAAAATACTGCACATGTGTTCAATACGCTAAATAAGGTAACAACTTCAACCGCTTTTTTTAGTAACGTCGCCAATTACTAAATTTAAGACATGGGCATAACACCAAACATGAATCTGACCCGGGGTACCTGTATTTAACCAGGTATTGAATCCATTGTATTAACCTTGCATATTAGAGGCTCCATCGGTGCCATTGCCAATACATTTACTTACATCAATGCCTACCTTTTCAAAAACGTCACAAACCAAATCACACATTCCTTTTCCAGTTGTTGATGTGCAATTGAATATCGATATTACACGTTCGTGTACAGCTTCGGTTTCATATCGGATCACAATAGAACAATGATCCTATAGATTAGTATTTTGTGTGGTATCAATTTGAACACTAAACATACCAGCTTCTCTAATCTCTTCCACCATCATGCTTGTTAAAGATGTTGTTATTGCATTAATGACTTTATTAACAGTCGTTTTTTACAGAAATGTGACCAAGTCGCCCCAACATCTTATGTTGCCAACTGAATTATGCCAGGATTTGCTTTTTTGAACCACCCTTTTGATATGTGCTTCAGGAACGGTTCAAGTTTACTAATAAGCAAAAGAATCTCTCGAAAATTCCCATGATCTACGCTGTCATTAAGCAATGTGTACCCAGACAAGTCCACGCTTACCAATAACTTTTAAAGTTTCTATAATTCTTTCTAAAATTAAACAACTCTTTTTAACCTCTTCGTAATGTCGGGGCGAATAAATACTTAAAATATCTTTGGCATTAATTTTTAAAACATACAAATCTGTGCTTTTTGCATGGAATGCACTGCTTTCATGTTATGATGTTCTTTGATAAATATGCTTGCAATTCGTAATGCTATATCCATTAATTGAACGTTGATTGATCTCAGGCTTTGCTAAATGCTAGACAAAAATAACAAAACAACTTTTGTCTGTTTTCTTCAAAGGTCAGCCAGGGACGAGGCTTATTGTTACCGAAATAAACGCTCTGGTAATTCATTTTAACGTTTAGATCAAAATTGTTTTGCTTCAGATGATATTTAAAAAATGATTTCAAAGAGTCTGCTTGTGGTTTCAAAAAATAATTTTAGTCGTTATGAGTTTCTTCACCTGACTTGCATTGGTTAATGTTCAATTTATATTGAATGTTAGAGTTAGGGTAAGAGGTTGCATCGATAGCATTGTCATCAAAACTATCTGCCGTTTCAAATTTAGAACCACCGGCCTCTGCCTCATTAAGTGATAAAAGTACCGATTCAGCGGCATAAATTAGATGAAGATCAATAATTATTTCTGTTGCTACTACATCAGTCATATTAACAATTGAGTTAGTATTAAAAAATGTTGCAAACATGTTCGTTAACTTCTTATATTTCTGGGCATCGTTCTCTTAACGTGTTTTCTTTCTTATTCGTTCTTTTGGTGCTTGAGTTTAACAACTTTTAAGTAAGTTCTAAACTCCAAACTTTTTTATGCTCATACTTATGTCAATTAAAAATACTTTGCCGAAAATTGCGTTGATTAGCCTGGGAACGAAAATACCCTAAATAGTAGGCATCACCCCCCCCCACCCCACCCTAATAAGAGAGGAAATGATTTTTTGAAAAAAAAATTTACTTCGTTTAATAAAATTCAAAAGTATCTATATTTAAAGTTTGATCAAAAAATCATCAGGCGTTCAAAGGTTGTAGCTATTTAAAGTTTAGAGCCCCCTCAAAACGAGGGCTGTAAACTTAAACTGGGTACAATTTCTAAACAACATAATATTTTTCAAAAAAAGTTTAGAACTAATTACCACCTAATTTTGGAAATTAGAATTTATATTTAGAAAAACCTATTCCCCCCACATTTGGGCGGGTGATGCCAACTTTTTAGAGGTTTTTTGTTCCCAGGCTCTAATTTGCACAATTTTGGGCAAATCATTATTAAAGTATAAAAATACATGATCATATACAAAATCATGACTAAAGTATAAAAATACAAAAATTTGGAGTTAAGAACTTACCTGGAAGTTATATAACTCAAATACCAAAAAATCCTGATTCCGCCCCTGGACAGTTTATGTGAAGTATTTTTGGTATCTTCATTAAAGTCAACTATGAGAGACAGTACATTTAATGGTCCTGCAATTGTAGTATCTTCATTGCCTTCTACTATGGGAGACACTACATGTGATAGTTCTGTAATTGCAATACTTTCATTGAAATCAACTATGGGAGACACTAAATGTGATGGTCCTGCGAATGCAGTATCTTTATTGCCTTCAACTATGTGAGAAAGCTTTTTAAGTTCTAACTCAGTTTTCTTCCACAAAAGGAAAAGTGATCTGTCAAAAGAATCCCTTTCCCAATTAATTATAGATTGCTTAAATTATTCCGATTATTTCCCTTTACTTTCATTCCAGATTTGCAATTCCTGCTTAACATATTTCAAACGTGAATGAATGTCGCCATTTGGCACAGCATTCTGCAAAGTAATGTTATTTTTATTTCCTTAAACCCTTGGTACGCTTATATCCCAGGGATAGAGTCCATACTATGCCGAAACCATTGGCCAAGACGGTATGAGTAAGATGCTTATTCACAATTATTTTTAGCAGTTTAGCAAAATCTTTTTTCTTCAAGATGAGGTCATTTAAATGATTGCTGCGTCACTTATAAACATGTTGCTTCCAATTCTCTTTTAATGTGCAAAACACTGAAATATCCATAGGCTGTAAAACGTGCGTAGCATTAGGATATAAAGCCACCCCATTTTGATTGTATCCCAAAATAATCCCATTTTGATTGCAGAACTGACTTGTTTGCATACTTAAAGGGAAAACATGCCCATCAACAAATAAAATAGGAGTTATATTATTTACTTTAAGCCAAGGGTGAAAAAGTTTGCCAAGAATTCATAAAATAGTTCCGACTGCATCCAACCGAAATTACTTTTTCCTAGTTCCCAACTGGAAAGTTTAGCGTTATTTCCATAGGCAGCCGCTCATATTTGTAGATTACTAATAATGTTACAACACTGCGATTGGCATTGCCAGTAATAAATTAACTAAATTAACTTGTTGATATATAGTCTTATCTCCCTTTCTTGCAAAGACTTTAGTTTCTTTTGGTTAAGAAAAAAGGCGGTCTGGTTGATTAGTTAAAAAGCCGTGAAGGGTCCATCAGGACCTGTAGAATATGTATTTTTTTAAGCATTCCTTAACTTCCGTGAACAACTGTAAAATATTGTCCAGTGTCTACTGATCACGGGAGACTGTTAAGTTTTGGCTTACACGTTTAGATATACTTTCATTTCTTTTTAAAAATCTCTGGATCCATGTTTTCCTAGGACAATTGTTAGTAAAAGGATTGTCTTTACTAAGGTCAGTCACCAACCGTTGTACACTATTTTAAAGTTGTTTTATAGTTACAGGGAATCTGCTTCGGCTATTTTTAGGACCCAGTTAAAAATAGCTTATTCCTCTTCATAGCTTAGTGCGGTTTAAAGTCCCATTTGGGTGACTTGCCTTCCAATTTTTATTTTAGAGTAATTTTTTATACACCATATTTTTTAGCTGCTGCCTGAACTGGTTTATTATTGTTTCTTACATCTTGGATGGCTTTCTTCATTGTTTTCTTTGAGTATTTTCATAATTGATCTTTTATTTAAAGCATAATGAATCTAAAAATATACAAAAACAAATGGATTAAGAAGTTGACACATCATTGTTCTAGTATTTGACCACCTGGTCATTTATTAGATAAACCTAACTTATTATGTTAATGATATAAAAACAAGTGTAGTTTGCTATAAAAACATAAAACATGCATGTTACGATGAGTTAAGATAAACAAAGGAATAACTGAGTAACTGACCACCCCTGGTCAATTACTAAATTATTTAAATTCTCTGATCTAACATTTGACCACCCCCATAACGGACTACAGATAGCAGTAAACAAATAACAAATAACTAGTATCAAACATACCTATTTGAAAATAAAATCATTTAATCTGAAAATAAATGGTACTTACCTTTTAAAAATAACTTTATTTGCGGCTTCTCCTCAGCAAATTGCAAAAGAAAACTCAAAAAAATAGACAAGAGCATAGCACATTAAAACTGACTGTAAGCCATATTTGTTTAAAGCTATCAAATGTTTGCCGCGTTTACGTATGTACAACCAAATAATAGAAGAATATTTTCCCGCTATTTTTCAAATCGTTCTTTCATAGTAGGGCTTATTTTAACAATTACTGGTACCGTTATCTTACTTTATTTTAATATTTTGGAAGTTATTTTGAATTCACATAAACAGTGCTTTCACATAAATATGATAAAAAAGACATATATTTAAGATGTTTAAAGTAATAATTTTGACATTGAACTCCAAAAATAAGAAAACTTTGACATCATATCAACTCGAAGTAACTGTTGCCAGAATCTAGTTTGATTTCAAATAAAAACAATTGATTCCTAAGTTCAA